CTGCGAACGTGGATCAGTGTGAACAGTATAGGATTAATATTTTAATATAAATCCACGTGACATTGGATTGAAATAAAGGGGAATTCACTGGAATTGTTAGAGACGTAACATTGCAGTAGATTAAATTATTTTTACTAGCTTTCAGCTTAGCTTTAGTCCTTTGAAGCTGATTTTTATTCATGGTCGCCGAAGTATTCAAAAAAAAAAAAACTCGCACCGCTGGAATTTCACTGGGTAATTTGTAGTTCAATTTAATTATTTGATGCTGCGTTTCATTATCCTTGCTTAATAATGAATTGTTAATAGAAATATTAATATTGATATTAGCGCCCGAGCTAAATTCTATTTTACATTTAAAAAAAAGAATGCTTGGTTCTCCTGCGTTGTTTTCATGTAGTAAAAAAAAAAAAAAAAAAAAAATAAGCAACAAAACGAATGAAGAATCCTCTTTACTTGCTTACTGTTGATAACATAATTCCCTTGCTTCACCAGGATTCCGATCACCACTACCATAAAACAGAGCTGCCACGTCAGAAGATCGATGCTATAGAAATACACGAGATTTGCTACCTGCAATCAGCGATCGATTCCACTCATTATCATCGGGAATGAAATTCTCAAACTGGCACGTGAGACTATTAACACGAGGCAACTTTAGTACACATGTATTAAGAATTGAGAAACTTTAAGATTACAGGAAAGAACAGTAGCTGAATATTGCTTCTATTGATATCTACCGTATAAACAGTGTAACAATGGAATAATAATTTTAACGTATGTTTTATTGAAAACTGTTTAGGCAAACATGTGCTTTTCATTTGCAACTTTCTTGGCCACGTTTCTACTTCTCTCTAGCAGTATCCTGTTTTCTTCATAACAATTTTTACAAAATTCCCCGACTTTTAATGCTGGATGTAATCGTACTGTGATCTTGCGTTTTTACTTGCCGCGGGACTGTATCGAACTATTATAGTAAATAGTACACAATCACTATTAGACTGTTGATAAATTCATCTTTCGTACATATGCGATTTCAGTATTAAAAGTATTAAATGTAAATTAATATTATAATTAAAAATGTAAATTAATATATCTGCAGGTACCTGCGTGAAAAGCGACGTCGATGCAAATATGTATATAAACGATCGCATGGCGTATTTCGAGAATTTATTCTGCTCCGGCCAAATTCCACACAACGTGCCGCATGTCTTGATTATCTTCATGTATTTCTTCTCCACCGTGGCTTTGTCCATGGTAAAAAACGAAGATCGATCTAGTTTATGGGACTGGCGCGTGACGAATGACAAACAAAGTTGCAAAGTTGCTGGAATCGGCCTCTACACTTCCTTCTAGCCATGCAATATTCATTCCGATGCGACGCGCAAGCACTTACCACCTCGTGAAAAAGAAATGGGAATTTAATTCATTCAATTCCCTTTGACTACCTTCAATAAAATCGCGTGCATTCAGAGAACGTCGTGTTACTTACTTTTCACGAAAGAACCATTTCGAAGCATTAGCTATTCCATCGAAGTTAGAAGTGTCTGTTGTTTGGCTACTTCCTGTCAGTCGTTTAGCAAAGCTTGGAGAAGAACAGTGTATAGACAGATTCCCTTGAAAACGGCTGTGGGGAACAAAGTTTTGGAAAGTAACTGAATGCTTTCGTCTTTCGTCTGCGAACCTCGACAACTCGTTTCCTTGCAAACAAGAAATCGACACTATTGCGTTATTTACTATACAGTAATATACGTACATAATTTGTACATTCAGTAACAAATTAGTATGATTAACATTTCTGAATACTTCGAGTTATCGTGAGTAAAAACAAAACCATTTGTCTCTGAATGTTTATTTCTATACAGTTTCGCAGTGATATTAACACGTTCCGTGGCAAGCGATTTTTGCCTTTTGTTGTCGTTCAAGCCATTTGATATTTTGACTAAAGGTTGCACATGATATACACACAATCTTTCATTACATCATCAATCGATAAGTAGTTCTCTTGTTTAG